GACAAACACTTCTCTGTTTTAGAGGATATTTCTTTCTTTTTAAAGGATCAAAAAATGCCCATGAATTTGAATCTGATGTTAACAAGTCTGTTAACATGCTTCCAAAGTAACATGAAGACCATCAATAGGGAAAAGCCTTGGGGAATGACTTAATGCTTGCTATTTTTTAAAATTCAATATATTCATTTTTCCTTTCAAGAAAATGCAGTCTGAATATACTTAATCGTTTCCTTTAGTTTCTTTTCTTAACGCTTTGGCAATTCACAGGGACAAATTTCACCACATAATACAGTTCTATCAAAAAATTCCATTTTCCAAACTAATATAACCCTAAGCCAAAACTTTCCTTATATTTTCATAATTTTCTTAGGCAGGGGAAGCTGAACGATAAAGTTTAAGGTCACATTGCAGTGTATTTTTCCAGTTATGGGATTTGGGGAAATAGACCTGAGTGGTAAGCAGCCACTAGGAATAAAGCAGTTATATTAGAATCAGAAAGTAAATTGGGTGTAACAAAGAGGACAGTCGGGACACATCAGGATGCCCGTTCATGCCCTGATCATTTCAGTCACACTCAAATTGGGTCAACAGTATTATCTTTGAGGGGTGCGTGTATGTGTGTAGTAAAACAGTCATGTTGGTGTATGGGTGAATGAACATACAAAAACACAGGTATTTTGTGGATGATGAACAACAGATCGGATTAAAAGTAAATAAATAAAATGTATTTATTTGGTGGATGCAGGGACCATGTTTCAACATATTTGTGGCCCCTATATTCATGATGTGTTAGGCATAAAATATTTACATTTAAATGCATTACTGAATAGATAAATGGAAAGAATGGGAATGAATGAATGAAATGAGAATGTCAATTAAAAGAGCTAACTTAAACTAATCCTTCCACAGATTTCCTTGGACTTAACTAAGACCAATACTCTCAGGATGGCAAGAATAGGAGCTAAAAATAAAACTTCATTTCATCCCAGCCTTATTATATTCTAGTCTTGCATGAATGACTAGAGAATATTGAAGTCATTGGGTTACTTCTGTCTCATAACACAAAGGTATTAACATACTCAATAATCAACTATATGGCACTCTTCTTACACTGCAACTTAGACTGGTAATTAGGAAAAATTTAAAGACTAATAATTCTCTAAGTGTAATACCATACAGCATATAGAATTCTACAGATTCTGTAAGAATGATAAAATACTCCAGAGACTGATGTCTGCTACAGATCATAATGATGTTCAGAGAAGCTTAGTTTCATTTTTTTTAAAAAAAAATCTGAGTACCCAGAGGACAGTTCTTCCTCAGAAAAATAAAGTAAAATTGGAAAATTGTATTTGCATCACCTGGAGATTAAGTTACATGAGTAGTCAGGCTATATGTGTTTCCAGATGACACTTTAATGGCAGTATGAACTTTATCAGGTTACTTAATTTCTCTGAACGTATTTTCTCCTCTGCTAAACTATAGACAGTAATGCCTCCCTGTCTGAGTTAGTGTGTAAATAAAGAACTCAGTAACGGTCCAATAGAGTAGGGTATCTGTAAATATGAGTTTTTTCTTCTTTCCTCAATTCCTCATTCTCAGTGTGGGAGCCAAGCTGTGGAAAGCTGGCCACATTCAATTCACTTCAACCAGTGGATCATAAAATCACAATAATAGATTGATGTCTTCTTGTCCAAACTACAGTCAATTGTGCCATCACCTCTTCCTACCCCTACCTGTCCACACCCACTGGGTGGAGTCTCATAGGGTATGGAAGAAAGGAAAATGTGAGAAAAAAGAAAACAGGGAAGAGGGATTCGAGGGGAATAGGGTGAGGTGGAATATTAGATTCCAGGGCAGCCTCCTTAATGACACTTCACCTGCTCAGCCTAGAGTAAGCACTCCAAGACTAAATGACTCACTGCAGGAATTGCACACAAGCTTACACAAGGATTAAAGTGTCAATTCAGGAGTCATCACCCATCTGCACCCTATGACCCCACTCCCTCACAGTGAGATGCACTGGCTCATAGGGCCCTGAATTATCACTGTAATGCAGTTAGTTTGAATTTTTCAACCCAGTCCAAAATCAGGATCAACATCAGAATTATGGATTTCACAAGAAAGTGAATACTCATGGGAAAAAGGGGCTCCAAATCAGCAAGTCACACACTTACAATTTTAACATATAGCCTTTTATATGCCTCCCTTATTTTAAAATTGTGTCAATTCACATTTATCTGAAAGGTAATCTCAAAATGACACTGTGGCCTGGCGCGGTGGCTCATGCCTATAATCCCAGCACTTTGAGAGGCTGAGGCGGGCTGATTATGAGGTCAGGAAATTGAGACCATCCTGGCTAACATGGTGAAACCCCATCTCTACTAAAAATACAAAAAAATAGCTGGGCGTGGTGGCGGGCGCCTGTAGTCCAAGCTACTCGGGAGGCTGAGGCAGGAGAATGGCGGGAACCCGGGAGGCGGAGCTTGCAGTGAGCTGAGATAGCGCCACTGCACTCCAGCCTGGGCGACAGAGTGAGACTCCGTCAAAAAAAAAAAAAAAAAAATTACATTGTCAAATGGCATTTCCTGAATGCCAGCATAGTTTCAACTACCAACTCTATGCTTACAACTTGAAATTCTCTTGGTTTAGCCCTGACCCTGACTCACATATTCAACAGGCTAGGAAAAAAATATATAAACTTTGGCTTACCCTTTGTCCTCTATGCTGGAGATGTCTAGAAACAAACTTGACAGCTTCCTTCCATATTCCCCATTTCAGTAAATGGCACCAACATTTTCCTAGACACTCAGACTAGAAATCTGATAACGATAGCACTCTACTGCCTAAAACCATCATTAGCTCCTCATTGCCTTTAAAATAAAACCTGGGTCTGCAGGAAGGTAAAAAAAAAAAAAAAACCAGTTCTTGTTTCTTAACCAACGTAAATTTACCTTTTACCACATGCTTCCTTACTTGGCATTCTGGTAATTTCAAACTGAGTCTGGTCCCATGCACAGATTCTATCCCTCTGTTCCTTCTGGCTTGGAATGCCCCTCTCATCTTTCTTTACCTGCAAACCTATTTTTTTTTTTTTGGATGAAATCCACATGCATTATGATCCAATAACCTCCTGTAATGCACGAGCCCTACATCACCACCACTGTGAAGAGCCACATCACCCTAATTAAAATGTCCAAGAGCCCTCTTCCCCACAATTCTCGTCATCTCTTTGGAACATAGGCGCCACTCACTAGTCATGAGCTCTTTTATTACCACTGTGTTGACAGCAACGATAATGAAGAACATGAGCATGTATAATGAATAATAGAAAAAATGCCCTCAAGAGAGTAGTGTTCACAAAATGTTTAGGAAATCCTCTGGAGCACAAGACATTATCAGAAGAGGGAAACCCTTCTACAAAGGGAAGATTTAGCAGCAGGCTTTCCCCAGTCAGTCTGGAGAAGGCTTTGAAGTTGCACACTCATAATTAAATGTGGCAGTTCTTTTATCTCCCTTTGCTGGCAAACTTTCAGGAGACCAGAGGAGTTTCTATTCATCTGCATGCACCAATCAGGCAGTCAAGCTTAACAAGATGTATATGTGTATGTCTCTACCTTATGGATTATCAAATAGAATTGGACTGAAAATCCATAACTCCATTTTTGCTAAATGATACCTTTTCAGATAGATTTCTGACTGCTTTCTTTTTCTTTGTACTTTTAGATATCCTGGCCTTACGTATTTTATTTCTTTGCATTTAGACTGCAAGCTCCATGAAGTCAAAGATCATGGCTGTTTCCTGTCTGCTACTAGCTTCTACCACACCAGTAGCCCAGATGTCACTCGGTCCCTAACAGACAGTATCTGCCCCTTGTATTTACAGTCAAAGATTTTTGAAACTACTAATGGATATTTAATTATAGGCTACATTGCAGAATAACTTTAGTTTAAAGCCTGTCAAAGAGTTAATGCACGAAATAACCCTGGGCGTTGTATTATCCTGTTTTGTAATACATTAATACAGCTGTCCTGATGGCAACTATCTTGTTCATTGTCGACAGCTCTGAGAGTTTTGCAGTCTCAGAGTTGAACTGAGTAGCTATCTAGAGCCAATGGTTCTCCTGGGTGAGGAATCAGACTAACTTGAAAAGAGTGGGTGCCCTCTCATCTCTAGTCTTTGCCGTGCTTCAGGGGATTCTCTGGAGGTTTTCCAAGTCATTAGTAGGAGCACTGCAAATATAAAATGCTTTGGAATGCACATTCAGATTCTTTTACCCAGGTCTGTAGGAATCAGAAATCTTAAAACAGGAAAATATGTATTTTTTATTTTTATTCATTACTTTTTACATTTTTGTGGTTGAACTGAGTAGCTGAGTAGCTATCTACAGCTAATGATTCTCCTGGGTGAGAATTAGACTAACTTAGAAAAGAGTGGAGTGCCCTCTCATCTCCTAGTCTTTGCCCAGCTTTGGGGATTCTCTGGAGGTTTTCCAAGTCACTAGTAGGAACACTGCAAATATAAAATGCTTTGAGACCACATTCCAGTTTCTTTTACAGGTCTGTGAGAATCAAATCTTGAAAACAGGAAAATATGTATTTTTAATTTTTATTCATTACTTTACATTTTTGTGGGTACACAGTGGATGCATGTGTTAATATGTATTTTTTAATTTTTATTCATTACTTTTTACATTTTTGTGGGTACACAGTGGATGCATGTGTTTATGGGGTACGTGGGGTGTTTTGATACGGACATGCAATGTAAAGTAAGCACACCATGGAGAACGGGGTATCCATCCCCACAAGCATTTATCCTTAGTGTTACAAACAATCTAATTATACTCTTTACATTATTTTAAATGTACAATTAAATTACTGACTATAGTCACCCTATTGTGCTATCAAACAGTAGGTCTTATTTATGTTTTCTAATTTTTTTGTGTGCCCATTAACCCCACTTCCCCCTCCAGAAAAATAGGAATTGAAAGAGCCCTTACCTGAACAGAAGTCATCAGAATATCGGTCATAGACAGCTCTACAGTCCCTTTCATCGCACTCACAGGTGTCCCCATGAATATCTCCCCAGTCCCCAGTTGGATCAACATCGTGACAGGTACATTCACCACATACACAAGTCCCTAGGTGGGAAGAAGAATTTTATAAGAATCCAGTCAAGAAAAACCATGAAAGAAAGCATTTCACGTATTTCTTATTATTTTCTGCTGCTTACTTTGTGTTTGAAAAAATATATATATATATTAGATAAAAATATTCTAAAAAGGAAAAGCACCATCTAATATTGGTAATAGAGATTCCTTAATAAACAAAAGTTATTATATATTCTATAATTATGTGAATTGGTAGAATGTGTCATTAGTATTGTGTTAGTTTCCTTCAAAGATAACACTAAAACAATTTATATAAGATATAATCCTTTCCCTCAAGAAGCTTGCAATCTATTTGGCAAAAAGAAAGCTAATTAGAAAGAAAAATTAGCAAACACTAAAAACAATGTGTGACTATTTTGTAAACTAAGACATGAATGCTCTAAGAATTTGGAGAAAGAGGATCAATGAGGGTTGGAGTAATTAGCAGTGGATGGATTGGATATACAGGGATTAGAGGAAATGTTCTAGGAGACACTGGAGGCAGAACTAAGAGAAAGTCAAGAAGAAAAGAGTAAGCAATGAAGGGTAGGGATGGGCATAGGGACCCTGAGGTGCATGTTAAAAAAAGACTAAGTAGTAAAGTTTGCTAGATCAGATGAGTCCAGATTATAGAGAATGTTGGAGATCAGATTGAGAGATATAAACTTGGTCATTTGCAGATTTGCAGAGGGAAATACTCATCTGTAAATCATATTTACTCTGTGCCGATTATCAGTAACCGTCTTTAGGGCAACCAGCTAATCATTTGATAGAGACATAAAGTTAAATCCTTTTCTTACCTCTAACAACAAAATAAGTACCAGTTGGATTAAAGATTTAAATGTACAAAATAAAACTGTAGAATATGAACTAAACTCTTTTTATTCAAGACCCCCAATGCACAATTACTAAAAAAGGAAATTGAAAATTTCCAAAAAAAATTGAAAATTTTGGTTGGAAACAAAACACTATAAAAAAAAAAACAGACTGATAAAGCTGAAACAAGTGGTTAATATGTCTGTAAAAGACAAAGAATACTTACAAAAACATATAAATAAATCATAGGATTGAATATAGAAAGGATTAATATGTCCAAAGTGAAATAGACAAAACCAAAGAATAGGAAATTTCATACAGAAATAATGATAGATAAAGATGAAAAATGTTTATCACTCAATCGACCACTACTAAGCGGGTAGCAGTGGGAGAGTTTCAAAATAATCATGATTGGCAATGATTTCAGATGTCAGATTGTCAGAGGTGGAAAATATTGCTTGGATGCAGACTTGGTAAAGGTGTGGGACAATGGGTACTTTCTGGCCCTGAACAGAACGTACAAAATGGTACAACTTTCTGGGTAGGGATTTTACAATATGCACTTTTTATAGCTGTGTTATTATTTAGACGTATAGCTCGCTTTAATTAATGTACCCAATAGAAGTAAAAAGTACACACGAGTATATGTTCAGAAAAATAAAAGATAGTTGTATTTATATTTTTGGAAAACCACTAGTGACTGAAATATTGATCAATGGGGAATTGGCGCAGTAATGGTACACACATATGGACTAGCTGGCAATCACTGAGTAATAGTTAGGTTTTTGCTCCATAAATATGGAGAGATAAATAACATATATTACGAAATAAATAAAAGTGTAAAATTACAAATCAGCATGTACAGTATGATTCGATATTTTTCTTTAATAAGAAGGAAATACAGGGTTAGGGCAGCCACACAAGTGAATTTTAACAAATAAATACGGACTGAAACTTCATGTGACAATATGTAAAAGGAGGTTACACCTGGATGTTAGGTTCACGGGTCATTTTCCTATTTTTCTGTGTACTCTACTTTGTTATCTAGATTTTTAAAAATGAATATGCATTGCTTTCATAAGAGGATAAATGAGTTTGGTCAAGAGGAACAGGGACTAGGAGCACGCAGATGTGAAAAAGCAGCAGCTTCTCAGCCATGTGTAAAGGGGTCCAATATGAAACTCAATAAACTGGGTGGGCAATAGAGGACATTTGTTCTATTAATGGCTATGTCTGCGACATTGGGTTTTTGGCCCCTGAAGATGGGGAAAAAGGAAGACAAGATAGGTATGTGCAGGGACCAGCGTCTTTCTATTACCTATGGATGCAATGGCACAGAAACGCTTTCAGGGTAGTCAGGCGTATACCTTTTTAGAAAAAACAATGACTCATCTCAGCACCCACTTCTGCCCTGTCTTCATGTACCCCTGAGTCTCAGAAGCAGTGAGTCTCATTGAGGCAAGCTGCTTCCTATTATGCCTCTGCCAGATCTCCAGGTCAGAACGCTCCCAGCACAGCGAAGTGGGAGGCAGGTGGCTTAGCTTATGTTTCTGAAGGACGCCGTCTCTCACAGCCAACGTAACTCTGCTGAGGAACGTGACCTTAATCCACGGCCCAACCAACTCCATTTTCCACTTCTCTTTTTGACAGCTAAATAGTCATTTTCCACAGTACACAGTTCAAGCTTCATATACTTATAAATGGTAACTGTGACCCCTACTGCATAAAAGGACTTATGCAGAAAACACATCCTTATACATAAAAAGAAACCATAAGGTAAATTCGTATGATATATAGTAAGATTTAATCCTCACAAAGAGAGGACTTCATGATTTTGTTCCAAGTTCTTGTCTTTTTATTTATTTTCTCTATGTAAAGAAATGTGGCACATTTTATTCCTCTATGTCAGTTTCTAAAAGGCGGTATGCTACGGTTTCTGTACTAGCATTATCTATTACAATGTATGTATAGAAACGAAAAAAGTTTTCCACCTATCTGATATTTTTAGTTTTAATGAAGTATAGTCACTTTTTAATGTCATCGATAGGCAATGAAAAGTTTAGGATGACCCTCTTTATCATTATGACAGAGGTAAAATTAAGTATTTTCAAGGAATTTTAAAACTATGTTTAAACTGTTTGATTTTATATCAAAAGTTATTAACTACCTTTAAGTTATAGTTTAGCAATATTAATATATTTGTTAACTTACTTCGTAAAGTCAGTGTACATTTCATATGGCTATTGGATACATACTTTGTAAATCTATTATATTCAATATAACATTTTTATTATTGCACACAGAAGTTAAATTAGTCCATATCAAATCTGCATTTCAACCAAGCCTTCCATTTACTCATAATTAAGACAAGAGGGTTTTCTGAATGCTCTCTGGATAATTAGATGCTCATGCTGTAGATGGTTCTGTTAGTCAAGAGACATTTAACAGAAGTATCTACAGGAATTGCGTTTTAGCTGTACTGTGCTATTTCTGGAGGGCTGCCAAATAAATTACAGTCCCTAAGTTAACTGTTTATTCAGTGAAGCTTAAAGAATGACAGCAACTTTCTTATCTTTCTCTTTTCTACTCAATAAAACACAAGACAGAAAAGACTGTTGGTATAGTAAATGTTGATTTACATCAAAGTAAATGATCAGAAGATAACTTCCTCCCACACTAGAGGACATACAGAGAAAAGAAATGTTAACAATTAAAAGCTTTGTTTGCCTCCCCATTATGTAGTAACATGTATGAATGACACACCTCTGTTACTGCAGATTTTGCCATCTGGAGATGTGCATCTTCGCTTGCTTTCCCAGGGGGTGATATCGCACTGGAATTCACATTTATCTCCATGCCAACCAGCCTTGCAGTAGCAGTTTCCACAGTAACACTTCCCATGGCCTTTACCCAAAATGAATTTTATACAGTGAGGAAAAAAGCAACTTTCATAAGCAGAATTAACTTTCTATCTCTTTGTGATCACTTTTGCCTTCTGAAATAATGTCACAGTTCAACATTCCTTGCCTAAAATCATCAAATTATACAGCTTTCTCCAAATACATCATGGTTGTGCCTTTACCTGCTTAATTACACAAAAAGAGCAACATGTCCTTTAACTTGGCCTAGACAGAGAACTGATTGAAAGTATTTTTAACGAAATGACATGAATGACTATGAGGGTCTATTACTTTTCCATCTCAAATGCATGCATCAAACCCAAATATATATGAGCATTCACTCTAAGGATGTTTCTTGAATTAGTTATTAAAATATTTCATTTGAAATCAACTATTGAGAAACCAATGGTGCATATTTACCTAGATACACATTATGAAGGACCAAACAACTCTTTAAAGCAGAAGAAATATTTCATCTTTTCACTCAACTGTGTCCCACAAGCTGTTGGGTTCTACCATGTGAAAGAGGTTTTCAGCCTAGTCCATGTTTAATCCTCATTTAGACAAATAAAATACCACGGGCCCTCGGCCTCACAATCAAACTCCCTTTCGACTTGTCAAGGGGATACCAATGACAGCTAAGGGCACTCATCATTTTGTGTCCAGATGCCCTCTTTCAGCTCCTACCTCTCTGTAACCTGTCACCTGCTCATCTGCACTTGCCTCCAAGCCATCTGTAGTGAATTATCACATCATTGCTTTCCTCCTCCACATCTAGCAATCCTTCTGCAAATTCCCCAAAGATGATATTTATCCCAAAATTTACTTCTTGTACTCTCATCTTTGTGGTTATATCACCTAAGCATAAATGTATGTCCTTGCTCTTGTTTTGTTTTTAGTCTATTCTTTCTGTATTATAGGAGTTTGTGTTTTATCAGTCTATGGCTAAAGTCTTTGTTCTTTCCATCTCCCTTCTCTTACAGCCAAAATCCCCCAAAGACAATGCAAAACTGATTATGAGACTACTTTTCATTGTCTTATAAGCATATTTATCATTCTAACATTATGGTATCTCTGGCCAATGGCAAGAACTTTAGTAGGACCTGTAAAACTCACATAAGAAGCAGAAATTACAATAGAATATTCTGGTCTCCTATGCTATTCACATCCAGTAGATGAGACTTCCATCAAGAAGACATACATGTGAGAGACAGAGACAGACAGATAAGGAGAAAGAGTGCTATAGTGAGACACAGAGAAAGAGACAGGGACCCA